ATATTATATAAGACACTCGTCGTCGTTCATTATCATTACAAGTTTATAGTTTTAAGTTGTTTTATTCACACTGCCGTGTTAGGTTATTATAAACTTTGTTTCTAAGTACAATATAATATAATTTAAATAGTTACCACTATTAAATATAAATCCATATAAATAAATCACGGTTGAACTTTGAATTTAAAAGATGGATAATAAACGCAAAAGATCCTTTCTGGACGATGACAGCGACAAATGTATCCGAAAAATTGCCAAAAAGTATACCATAACCATAAGTAAGTGTACATTCTTAGTTTTTCAATCATGGTCCAAGCCTCGGTTATGCTTCACCCACCGATTTTACCTGCCGAATTCCAAGGTTTAACTATTTTAATAATTTTAGTGAAGTAGAAAAATAGTTGTGATGTATTATGATCACACGGCGTTTAGGATAGGCTTTTTCGCCACACCACTGATGCGTTGGTCTGTTTTTCCAGAATTTTATTACTTTAGTTGATATAATTTTAAAGGTCCGTGGAAAATTTGTGAAAAGATCGTCTGGGTACTATCCAATTCATCGCTCATCATGATAGCAGTATTACCCATCGAAAACCCCGAAATGTAATAATTATCATGTTGCAAGTTTGTCAATATGTTTGTTTTTTTTTTTTTTTTTTGTAAATGTATAAATATGTAATCATGTTATATTCAGTGGTTTATTTAGCAATCATCAGAATTATTAATAAAATACAAACATTGAATAAAACGTAAACATTAGTCATTAGGCAAGTAGTAGGTACTAGATGCCGATAACACACTTATTTATTTATTTATTATTACATTGCACGAGTGCATTAAGTACATAATTACATTTAACATTTTTTTAATAGAACGCAATAAATAACCATTATTACAACAATACGTTTTGTTAATAAATTTTATTAAATTAAATGTATTGAATGACAAGCATGTGTCAATAATCCTATGTATTTTACGATGCGCATAGCTAACGAACAACCATCATTTCTTATTTAAACAAATCGTATTGTTTTAATAACGGTTATTTATTGTTCTATTAAAAAAATGTTAAATGTAATTATGTACTTAATGAACTCGTGCAATGTAATTGGGCTCTGCCCGTAATGTTTCAAATAAATAAATAAATAAATAAATGTGTTATCGGCAAAATAATAGGTTACTATTTACGACTGCACCACTGAATATAACATGTTTACATATTTATACATTTACAAAAAAAAAAAAATAAACAAACATATTGACAAACTCGCAACATGATAATTATTACTTTTCGGGGTTTTCGGCGGGTAATACTGCTATCATGATGAGCGATGAATTGGATAGTACCCAGACGATCTTTTCACAAATTTTCCACGGACCTTAAACAAGTTCAGACGGATTTTTATTGTTTAGAGTAATAGAAAACAAAATATTATAATATAGTCGGTGTGTTTAAAATAATAATCGTCGACTTTCAAGAATATTTTTTATCACTCCATAATATATATAATTCGTGTCTGCGTCACATAGGCCATGATATTTAAAAATAAAATATACATTTTCGTATACTATAATATTATTATAATGTACTGTAAAAGTGTAAAGTGTACATATATTGTATAATCGACGTTTAAAAATAAAAACTAGTAAATAGTTAAATTTAAATTTGATAAACAAAATATCATACATTATTCTTTTGTATTTTTAAGCAATACATTTTTTAAAGAGAGCATTGATAACAATTTAAAAAAGAAAATTATTTAAAAAAAAATTAAAACACGTTTAATATATTTAAAAAAAAAATAAATAAAGTTTCAAACGAATGAAACGTTGTTTCGTTTAATTAGATAATGAAAATGTTTTCAGGTATTAATCATTTTGTCACACTATAAAATACTATATTTATTGTTTAAATATTATTATATTAGGTCCTAATTTGAATAATTATTACATTTTACTTGCACGAACAGTGTTACTCGTTCACTTATATTATGTTACTTTGGTGTGTTTTAAGTATGTTACAATTATATCAAGTAAAGTAATAAAATTCTGGAAAAACAGATCAACGCGTCAGTGGTGTGGCGAGAAAGCCTATCATAAACGCCGTGTGATCATAATACATCACAACTATTTTTCTACTTCACTAAAAGTATTAAAAAAGTATTATTAGACTCTAATATGTAAAACGAGTACTTACTTCACCGAGGATGTTTCCATAAGAAATATCCACATTAATCGGATGTCCGTTAAACAGCAAGACGTATTGATTGTGCGAGCTCGATATATCTCGATCTGACGAATCTGCACGACCGCGACGTGGAATTTTCGGCCTCTATAATAGTAAATTAACACTTAGCACGTTAGAGATTGTAGAATTATTAGACTTTAATATTATATTGTATAAATGGGTATGTTATGTTTACTTCACAGGTTATTTGTATTTTAATCATTTTTAGAGCCTAACAATATTAGTCAGTCCTGCGTGTTATAGTGATAAGTAACTAATTTTATATTTCAATTATTGGACTGCCACGCACTGATGAAAAGGATATCGGAACTGCTATTGGGCACTTCTGTTAGGCGTTTTCACTCTTCGTGGTCGAATCTCTACATACTGTGATGTGTCAAGTATTGATTTATCATTATGGAGTACGGACAATCGGTAACACCGAAAATCATCTGAAAGCGAACTGCGAAGATTCGACCACGAAGAGTGAAAAGGCCTTAGGTACACAGAAGTGCTCAATAGCTGCAGTTACGATAACTTTTTACGGTATTTAGTACACCGAGACTGGCGAGACTAGAAAATATTTTCAACTTTACCGGTTTTTCCGTCCGTACGGCGCCGTCGTTTCGATCGTCTGAGTGCGATTAGCTCTGTTCCTCAGACGGAACGACGTGCGGAATTCTCGTACGCTATAATAATAAATTAATAAATACTTGTTAGTGTCTGCAGAAATAATTGCCCTATTATTAGACTCTAATATGTAGACGAGTACTTACTTCACCGTGGCTGTTTACAGAATATATATCCACATTAACCGGATGCCCGTTAAACAGAAAGAAGCCTTGATTGTGCGAGCTCTACATGTCTCGATCTGACGAATCTGCACGACGTGGAATTTTCAGCCTCTATAATAGTAAATTAACACTTAGCAAGTCAGAGATTTTCCAATTATTAGAATTTAATATTATGTTGTATAGATTGGGGTATGTTATATTTACTTTACAGCTTACAGCTTGTGGTTCTCGTCCATCGGTACTACTTGCGTCGGACATGTCTTCTGCTGAGTAGAACATTATTAATATTATATTATTATACAAGTACAATAGACACATATGTACAATATATATATAATTAATTATTTGTGGATAGGTACAATCGAAATTCCTAAAATTTTACTCGCTGTATACGCAATTGGCCCCCTCCCAATAAATCATTCCGGGCTTTACTGTTGTTATTTAAAAAAAAATAAGCTAATTACTATTATCGAGACCGTATAATATTATATCGGTATATCTCGTTATATTCAGGGGGGGATCAACTTGCAGAGTTACCAGTTACTAGATCTACTTCGGGTATATGAAATTAATTATATTATAATATTAATATTATATTAAACTATAATATATTAGAGAATTTCACATTAACTGAGCGATAACATATTTAATTACGGAACAGTGAAAACATATTTTTACTATATACTACACTTACTTATGGTTATGGTATACTTTTTGGCAATTTTTCGGATACGTTTGTCGCTGTCATCGTCCAGAAAGGATCTTTTGCGTTTATTATCCATCTTTTAAATTCAAAGTTCAACCGTGATTTATTTATATGGATTTATATTTAATAGTGGTAACTATTTAAATTATATTATAATGTACTTAGAAACAAATTTCCATGGCTGCGCGTTTTGTGTTTTCATTTTCAGCCATCAAAAATATAAACAGTTTTGACAGTATTTTTTTATTATTTCATTTTTATTACACAGATATCTAATTTTTTAAAATAAGCATCGTTATAATATTTAAACTGCACCCAAAAATATCTGTAATTTACTTATTTACCCAATTGCATTTTTATTTATTTGCATTATACCTACAATACAACTTTCATTTAAATATCAATATTTTCTGTTTGATTAAAAATAATTACAATACCAAATTAGAATCACATTTTATTTAATTCTATATTTAACGAATTTCCATCAATAATACGATTTTTTTTTGTTTCCCACGGAATGTTATGCTTGTTTGGAACGTGTTCATCAATGTTCTACCATCTTTAGAGATATCCAGAGTTCAGACCTTAATTTTTTAGTAAAGTTGATAATTTATTTAAACAATTATTATGAGATACGTTAAACTCTATGAATTCCAAGTTTTTAGTTTATCACATAATATACCCATTTTGTTATTTGAAATGCCTATAGTAGTATCAACAGCGTTGAAGGTGAAGCTTGAGTCTTTTAAATCGAGTAGACGTTGAAAAAAAATTAAAAGTACTACGAGAAATATCCGAAAACGACCTCCTAAAAGTACTGAGTATTTTACTTGTACTTACAATTTTCGCAACAAGAATTTTTATGGAGAAAATAACGATTTCGAGTGAAGTGACATATTTTTTTTGATATAAAATTGTTACCATTGTCACTTACGACTACACGCGAAAAAGACGCACACCCGAGAATGTTTTTTTTAGCTTTATATCACCAATTGCATATTATTATAGGTATATGATAATAATAATAGTATGAAATGGCAGTGCCGGATCTAAAAATTATATAACCCGGGGCACGACATGATATTAGCGCCCCTAAAGGTTACCGATAAAAAAATCCATGTGTCGAAATTAAAATGTAATAAAAAATCATGAGTTTGAAATTTGAAATTTGCGCCCCTCTATGATTAGCGCCGGGGATTGCCCCCCCCCCCCCCTAGATCTGGTACCGTAAATTCTTGTCGGTATATATATATATATATATTATAACATAATTATGTACTCATGCGGTTTTAACGTTTATGTCGATTCCTGCGCAGAATGGTGCAACTGCTCACCAACGGAGTACTTGCTAAAGAAATGGCTGTCTCGGGAGTTTCGCGACTGGACGTTCACGGAAGCCGACAGCATCGGAATGACCATCGGTCACGTGAGCGGGCTGCTCGTCGTCCTCGGCCTGTCCGTCGTCGTCGCCGCCGTCATGTTCGCCGAACTGGTCACCGCCGGAGCGAACCGTTCCGTCGACCAGGTTCCGTTTCGCAACGTTATTGACCGCTGCAACTCAACCGGAGCAGCGGTCGTGTAACCGCTTATCGCGGTGCCCGTCGGCGAAATTCGTGGGGTCGCTAAGAGTGTGTTTTTATTTATATCGTAGCACCCTTATTATAATATATAGGCCCGATTTAAGTTAATAAACGCACTCGGCGGCCGACTCATGCGCAAGGGAGTGGCTTCGCTATATATACGGCAACCATAACATATACAGATTCTTTATTCTCGGGGGTAGTTATAGGTAGTGGTTAGGGGGTGTTGTTGCCGAGTAACAATAATACCAGCCAACTGTCAGTATATTTTCTAATTACAAATTTAGATCAATAATCTACATGACCTGCAGATGTCTTGGTTAGATATACTAACTAAATTTATTTTAATCTACCCTTTGTAACCTAACCTTTGCATGTATACTAAAACTGTAAACTATGTTGTAACTATTTATCGTGACTATAACAAAACTTTCATTGGTACAAAACTGATATAAAAAAAAACATAACGATAATTCCTATAACATGTTGCAAAAGCTGCAGTGTTTCTTTATCAGAACATTTTATAATTTTTTTTTTCAAACGGTTTGAAAAAAATGAGTACCTTACATACTACCTGCTTAATAGTATAAGTACCATATTATAAACTATGAATTACGAATTTATAAACAACATTTTACTTCAAAGATAAGAGAATAATTCTCAAACGTCTTATTAGTGAACCCAACAGTAGGTTATACTGTAGCTAGGTACTAGTTTTTATCATACCTTGTAATGTATACTTATTACTTCTTGAAAACATTATATAATTATAAATGACAATTTAATAGAATATTTTGTATTTTCGGACTTAGTCGTCCGAGTGAGTCTATAGTTATATTACCCTGCTAATTTAAATAAATATGTACACAGCCATAAATACACATAATATTATGATATTATTTATTCACAAATTGAGTTTACTGTAATTATAATTTTACTCATTACGACGAATAAGCTTTTTAAATATTGAAATAATTATTATTAAATTAGTATTTATATTATTATCATGTAAATTATTATAATGTGTAAAACCACATATTATGTAATGTCTATACATTCAAACAGTGTACAGCGATACATAATTTAATACAATTAATATACAAATATACAATACTTACATAATATTATAGATGTACAAAATGGTATACAGATGCCGAATACGTACAAATATGCTAGATATTTAATATTTTATTACACATCACAACTCATACGATCAACTGCGAAAAAGTTTTACTTCCCCTGCACGAAGGTACTACAAACACACTCTATTTTTTTTTATTTATTCTTTCAAAAAAAATAATGGGCCCCACTGACTGGTTTTAAAAAAACATTACAAATATTGTAACTATGGGCAGCGTATAACTGTTTAGTTCTTATTAAATCAGTAAATATATTTTTACATCATTCTCTGATTGATTATAACACAGTGTAAAATTGTCTTATATATTGACCTTGTTCTATATCAGATTATCATTATGTCTTATATAACAGAAGTGAATAATTCGTCCGAAGCCCAAATACAGTCCGCTGTTGAAATAATGAAACAGGTGTTTGACGATCTCCGGCAAAATCGCCCTAAAAGGTTTCAAGACAATGATCTCACCAGTTTAAAACTACATCGACGATATAAATCGTTACCCAACATGCCAATTTCCGCTAGCGAAGACGTTCAGATCGATTTGCAGACCTCAACAGCTTTGATGATGCAAGTTTTCAGTGATCTACGTGAAAATCGTCAGATAGCGGTCGACGTTAGTAGTGTCAAGATTTCAAAGGCTCAAAGATTATGTAAATCGATGCCCGATATGGCATTCCTAACAAATGCCGAAGTTGATGCACCTGATGCTATGCCGTCCACGGAAATTACCGTTTCGCTGGATTCATTGTATGCGGAAACAACTAACAGTGCAGTAATGAAACCCGTCGCTGCAGAACTTATCGACATCGACACGATATTGTCCGTCTCGACAACTTTCCCACTGGTTAAGCCGGTCGAATCCGACCCTCAACTGTTTAGTCCAATACAGAAAGTGGCACCACCGTCAATTGGGGATACAGAGTCGAAAAATGGTTTGACAAAACCTTTGGACCTGGAGACCGCCAGTTTACAGGAAATTGTATCATTTTGCGGCCATGGAGATGCTGCAGAAATGGAAACTACAGTAACAGCCGCCAGACCTAAACGTCGCTCACTATGGAGCCGAGTGAAGAGATTCGCTCGGCGAATGGTTTGCTGTGGTGCTAACAGCGACATACACCATTAGGTGTATAAATAGTTTTTTGAGGAGTGTTTGGGCACTGGTTTGAAAGTTTGTTTAGTTTGCCCCCTCACTTATCACGTTTATGGCGCCAGTGTAGTAAGTCACCGTGCACGATCATCCCGAGTTCGCTCCAAGAGTTTGTGTCCGGCTATATACATATATAAAACATATATAAATATTGCTATAAAACCGTAATCGTGTATGCATTAACACTAATAAACGTTTATGCTTTGTAATTTATTTGGTTTTTATTTTATATCATTATTAAGCGTCGACACGCTGGTGTAAATTTAATTTATGTGACTGGTGGAAATCGTGTTTATATATTGTACTGGTAGAATTTGGGTTTGTTGTAACTGGTGTATAAATCACACGAGGGACCTTGTATTGAATGCTTAGACCCTTTGACTGATAACCAAAACATTTTATCAACAAGAAACGCCGAAAAAACCCAAAAGACTGCTATTTTATGAGAAGAACGATGTTTAATAAAGATCTCCAAGGATATTTTGATACTTCCACATTTCTCAATAATTTTATATTTTTTTATTAAGTGTCCTATTTTAGATTATGGTCTGTAATATAGAATCCCCGTCAATATTGTTTAGTAGCGCTCATTAAGGTTGTATCGTTAATAATAATATAATGTACATTCTATAAGCAAATTATCTAATAAATATAATATTATGCTGTATGTACTGGCATCAAAATCTTCTATAAATTGTAATATAATATTAATATTACCAACAGATTCAATACGAGTAGGTATACACAGTGGCCTACACAGCTATTTTCAATGGGGCTTACATATAAAAAATTATATACATATATAATATATATTATACATTGATAAATCAAAACGATGTACCTATAATAATTATTTTGTACATAATGAGTAATCAGCTCATTAGCAATGACTTAAGGTGAAATTAAAAATATTTTTACAATTCTCGATTATTATTTAAAAAATATATACCTATTAGATAATAAACAGGTAATTATTTAGTATAACTACAAAGCTACACGCGTACATACAATATGTAAATAATAATATATTATATACAATTCAATAAAAGATAGGTATAAAAAGAAATTTATTTTTATCATATTAATCATTTTTTTGTACCTAGGTCCTAGGTTGATAATATAATGTATTAAATATTTACCTGGTTCCTCCGAGTTAATTGTATCACAAATTAGTGAGTTAGAAAAATATTCGTTTATTCTTTTCATTATTATTGTTTTATAAAATATTTAAACAGTAAGTACAATTTACTAAACCGTCCAAAGAGTCAGGAATTTGATTGAAAACTGAGAAATAGATTTTATACTGAGATAGCTATTAAGGCATATTATATCGGATTACACGATTGTCGACCCTCATGTTTGTGTTTGAACAAATTTCCCAATAATTTCATTAATTTGTGACAAGTTATCAATAATATCTACAATATATTATAACAACAAACTGGGTTGCTTATAAGTTATAAGTAAAGACCGGATTTATATTCTCTTAAAATACCCAAAATATGATGCTAATATTCTCTAAAAACCCTTCAAATATTCTCATTATATTCTCTCAAAAATTTAAAAAATATGCTAAAATATGCAAAAATAATGAAAAAACATCATTATATGCTTTAATATGCATTTATTTTTTAAAATTTTTTTTCAACTATATTTTTATAGTGAGATATTAATTAGGTATTAAGAGTTGCGTATTATACCTAATGGAATAGTATTGCATTTTAGCAAAAGTAGGAAGTTGGAATATAATATAAATATAACAGTATACGTAATATTAAAACACAAAAACAAAATTTTGATATTTGAATATTTGATAAACTTATAAGTTGATCTTATCAGTAGATATACATAGATAAACCTTGATAATACTGATTGTTTTATTTTTATCAAAATGAAAAAATAAATAAATAAATTGTAAATGGTCAAAAATAATTTTTCAGAGTACCGTAATGTTAAAATTAAAAATAAATACAAATTTTTGCTCACAATTTACGAAATATTCCAAAATATGCTAAATGGGTTGAATATTCTCCAACCCATGAAATATTCTCAAATATGCAAAAAAAACAGTCCGCCACTGGATATTAATACATACTCAAATTACTTTACTAAACTGTACAATTTAATATCTTTCTTAAATAATTAAGTTTTTTGTAATGGAATCTTCATCAGTGCCCTGCAGTGCATCGTAAGGGTGCTCGGGTATGTCGAATTTCTTGTGTTGTTATTTATTATATGATGTAAACGAGTAATATCAACATTAATAAAGACTAAATAATTTTCATCACACATAGTCTTTATAGTGATAGCATTTTGATGTAAAGTGCGCACAACCGAAAATCATGATCAGACTAATTTTACGGCATTTTAAATAATATGTCAATATGTCTAAACCTACTCAATATGACTGGAATCGAAAATTATATGAAGGCTGTTGTACATGTAATTTCAGCACACAACTTTGTGTAAATCTCTTGCACAACTCAACTACCTATATTATGTATGAGCAATTACGCACTAAATACTAATGTTCTATAATATACCATTCCATCCATTTAGAACCTATTCGAGAACATGTTATAACTTATACCCTTTCATCTAATTTACTCAAATCGCCGATTATAATATATGTATAGACCGTTGAAACTTCGTATGAATTAATCTCGTGTTCGCGTTGTTCAAATCGTTTACTGCTTCGTACTCGTGGCTTCCGT